TTTTTTTTTTTTTTTTTTTTTTGGTACTGGGGATCAAACTCAGGACCTTGCACTTGAGAGGCAGGCGGTACCACTGAGCTAAATCCCCGGCCCACCTGCTTTCTTTTTTATGTTAAAACAGGGTCTCACTAAATCACTAAGTTCCCCAGGCTTAGCTGGAAATTGTGATCCTCTTGCCTCAGCCTCCCAGAGTATTGCATCTTCAGGTGTGTGCCGCCACATCTAGCTAAAAGAGTATGGTTTTATGTACCTGTACTCCCAATCTCTTAGAAGGGTGAGGCCGGAGGATCCTTTAAGCACAGGAGGGTCAACATAATGAGACCCCTTCTCAAAACACAAGACAGAAGATAATTTGGGGGATTACTGTAGAATTCTGTCCATTCTGACATTTCAAACATTTCTAGCCCATCTTTAGTCCATCTCTGTAGCTGCATACTGTTTTTGTAGCTAAACATTAAAGTATGCAACTCTTTCCTTGGGATAAATTTCTAGAGGAACCTCTGGGTCAGATTGTTTTTCCAAGCTTGCTTTATTTTTTGAGACAGGGTCTCACTGTGTAGTTGAGACTGACCTGGAACTCACTATGTAGCCCATGCTGGGTCTCGAACTCAGAGCGATCCTACTGCCTCAGCCTCCCGAGTGCTGGGATTACAGGCGTGCGCCACCACACCTGGCTTTCAAGCTTTTGATAAATGTTCCTGACTTGTCCTTGAGAAAGGCTCTAGACCTCACAGTCTCTTTCCCTACAGGCTCAGTAACACTGTTTCATCTTCAGGAACCTTTGCTGATGTGGAGGAAAAAAGCATACCTATGTTTTTGACCTACATTTTATTTTGAAAACTATTGACACAGATTCTTAGGGGTGTTGGAATATCTTCTTTTGTGAATTGCTGGTTTGTGTCCTATTTCCATTAAAAATTTTTATTTCACTCTTTACTTACTGTACTTGGTACTTGAACCCAGGGCCTCGTTAATGTAGACAAATGCTCAGACCACTGAGCTGCGCCATCACCCTTTTTTTTTTTCTATTTTGAGGTGGGGTCTCACCGAGTTCCCCAGGCTGACCTCGAACTGTGGTCCTCCTACTCCGCCTCCCACATTGCTGGGATTACAGAGTGTGTCAGGACACTTGGCTTTGTTCCCATTTTGTTTTTCTGTATCAAGAATCGAACTCAGGACCTTGCCCTTGCCAGGCAGGCGCGGTGCCACTGAGGGACATCCCTGGCCCTTGTTCCCATTTTTATATTGAAGACACAGTTGTCCTTTTCTTACAGTTTCTCTCAAGTGACTGGGTACAAAATTGGTCCCCTCCCTGGAGTCTATCTCTACATGCCCATATTTTCAAGTCCTTTCATGGTTTTCCTTTCTGACTGTGTTAGAATTTTTGTTTTTACTTTGAAAGGTAGTGTGCGTTTGTGTCGTGGGAACAGTGAGCAGCAGCTAGTGACAAATGTAGACTCCCGAGGTGGCGGTGGTGTGGCCTGTTGTCCCCACATTCCCGAGTCTGGTCCTGACCCCTCAGGGATGCCCTGTGGCACCCGTGTGACAGGTGCAGGTCAGCTTGTCTCTCCACACCTGTGGCCTCTCCTTAGCTGATCTAAGTGTGACTTTCCTGTGAACTAAGTTCTGCTGTATGCTGCTGTGTCTTTGTCTTTACCTATCTGGGCCATCAGACCTTTAACCATTATAGCATTGAGCACACCCCCACCCCAACTGGGGCTTGAGCCCAAGGCTTTCATGCTGAGCTACATTCCCAGCTTTTAAAAAAATAATTACTTTTTTTATTCTGAGGTGAAGTTGCTCAGGCTGGGCTTGAACTTGCCATCCTCCTGCCTCAGCCTGCCGGAGTGCTGGGATTACAGATGTGCACCACCACACCCGGCAGCATATGAGGCTTTGTCTAGTCTCGGGTTGGATTCCTCCTTGGCAGCTGGCACAGAGCCTGTCTGCACGGGGCAGGGTCTGTGTCGGGCCCCTTCCTCCCACTGTGCTCGCTGCTCCTGGGGTGTCGGAATATTTGCTTCTAGAGGCACAGCGCGCAGTGGCAGAGCCTGTGCCTGACTCGCAGAGGCCGGGGCTGAGGCCCAGCCTGCAGAAGCTGAGAGCAGATCTCTCTGTCCCCCGAGACCCTCGCCCTGGTAGCAGGCCAGCGCCGGCCCAGTCTGTCACCACCACTGTCCGGTGTCCACAGCGTGCTCACCGCCCCTCTGCCTTCTGTCCCAGCTACTCGCGGAACCGCACGTTCGACACGTACATCGGGCAGGGCTACGTGATCCCCGGTGTGGACCAGGGGCTGCTGGGCGTGTGCGTTGGAGAGAGGCGGCGGATCGTGGTGCCCCCGCACCTGGGCTACGGGGAGGAGGGCAGAGGTGAGTGCCAGGAGCGAGGCCCAGGGCCTTGGGTTCCAGAGTTGCTGTCCTGGCTGCCTTCCGTGGTTACTGTGCGGGGCGGACCCGAGGAAAGGAGGGGTGACTGCTGACCCGTGGGGCCTTTTGTGGATGCGGAAACAACCGCGCTGAGCTGTGGTGCTTTGGGAACAGTGGCCCTGCCTGACCCGCCGGCTCCCACGGCCCTGTCCCTCGGCCACAGCCCACGTACCTCCTCTTCCATGCCAGCCCAGTGTGGCAGCTGGTGGCCTGGGCTGCTCCTGTCAGCGGCCCGCAGCCCCCTCGTACGCATGTGCAGCTCCCGGCCCCTGGGAAAGAGTGCTGGGGCTCCCACTCCCCCAGGACCCTCCTAGAGCACACACCCACCTCTCCGGTTATGCTGAGCCTGGGGCAGGTCCCGGAGTTGTGCCTTAGCTCTTTGTCTGTTACTGGGACTGTAGGGTTATGAGAGAACTAAGTCTGCGGGTATGGTGCAGGCCTGAGGCAGGAGGATTGCAAATTTGATCCCAGCGGGGGCAATTAAATGGCTCAACGAGACCCTGTCTCAAAAGGTAAAGGGATGTAGCTCAGGGTGAAGGCCAGGGTTCAAGTCCAGTACCAAAAAAAGAGGGTAAATTAACATGTATGCAGGCGGGGATTCAGCTCAGTGGTTCTGCCGCCTGCCTCACAAGCACAAGGTCCTGGGTTCCATCCCTGGTACCCCCCCAAAAAAACAAACATGTATGCAGCACTTTGTGTCTGGCACTGTAAAGAATGCCTCCTGTGTGTGTGAGAGAGAGAGGAGGGAGGGACAGAGGGAGGGAGAGGGAGGGAGAGGGGACACCAGCCTAGAGTCAGGCTCAGAAGGGCTTGGAACCGGGGCTGCCGTACCACCTCGGTTTGAGTTGTATCTGTTGGACGCCCTGAAGAAGCTGTGTCCCATTCGCGCAAGGCTGATATCCTGTGATCTTTTGTTCTGTGTAACACACTCTTAGGCAGGCACAGTGGCACAAGCCTGTGATCCCACCATTCAGGAGGTTGAGGCAGGAGAATCACAAGTCTGAGTCCAGCCTGGCAATGTAGGAAGAGTTTGCCCCAAACAACAATTAGAAGGGGCCGGACTGCCACTCGGTGGCGGCAGAATGCTCGCCTGACGTGTGTGAGCGTAGGGTATCGCATTCACACGCACAAAGCTGGCCCTGAAGTGACCTGGCTGAGACCAGTGGAGGTGCTCGTGTCGGCAGGCACTGAGCCCTCAGAAAGCCTGCCTTTTCTGAGACAAAGGCCAGGCTGGCCTTGGACTCACTGCGACCCTCCTGCCTCAGCCTGCCCACTGCGGGGATCACAGGCAAGCACCACTGAGCCAGCTCAGCACTTCTGTGAACTGAGACTTCGCTCGGGTGGAGGCTTCAGGAGCGGCGTGCGCCAGGTGCGGGGATGAGGGCCTGGTGGGTGACCAGCTTCCTCCGGCTCGGCCTGCCCAGGGTCCGGCTCACCACGTCCGGCTCCGTCCGCAGGGAACATCCCGGGCTCGGCTGTGCTGGTGTTCGACGTGCAGGTGGTCGACTTCCACAACCCCTCAGACCCTGTCAGCATCACCTCCCGCTACCGGCCACCCGACTGCTCAGAGCTGAGCAAGAAGGGCGACTTCCTCAAGTACCGCTACAACGCGTCGCTGTTGGACGGGACCCTGCTGGACTCCACGTAAGGCGGGCAGCTTCTCCACCCTGCCGCCCAGGCGTGTCCTTCGCGTCCTGATGGCCTTGCCCGCCCCCACCTGCTGGACTGTCAGCTGTAGATGCTGGCTCTGAAAACAGCGTGGACGGAGGCCACTCTCCAAGCCTCTCTCCCTGGGTCCCAGCCTGCCGCACCCGTGGTGTCTTCCTCTGTGAAGGCCCATCTCGCGCTTGTCAGGTCTGCCCTGGACAGTGGTGCAGGCTACGCACTGCACACGGTCCTCCTCCCCCTTCCAGCTGACTTCTCCCCGGGCTGGTGTCCTCCCTTCTCTCCAAACCATTCTTTGCTTTGGGAAGCTCTTAGCACATATGTTGCCTGCCTTTCTGTCCCCTGGTTTCTGACTGACTGCTTGGCACACTTTGGGGAGCCCAGTGTCTTCATTTGAATTTTTACCCCTTGCACTTTGCTGAGGGCATACGTGGCACCGGAGGAGCGTTTTCTGGAAGTTAATTGAGATGAGTCTGACAGTACGACGCAGATCCGTAGTGTGAACCAGGGTGGTGAACAATGAAATGGGACCTGCTGGGTGTGGTGGCCCAGCCTGTGATCCTAGAACTCTGGGAGGCTGAGGCAGGAGAATCGAAAGTTTCTTCCCAACTTGATCAAATTAGCAAGACCCTGCTCAAAAAAAAAGGAAATTGAAGGTGCTGTCAAGAAATAATGACCATCGTGAAAGAGCCTAACCACAGTGTTAAAATACGAAAAAGCCCAGCTTCAGCACCAGTGAAATCCGAGCCCTGCCCCATTCCAGGAGCCCAGATCAGGCGGGTGCGGCACCCAAGCCGCCCTGGGTCCAAGGCCCGGTGCCCCCCATCCCGGCCCTGAGAGATCGCGCCCTCCCGGCGACACCGCCGAATGCGGCAAGTGACCCTGTCCATCCCGCCTGGTCGCCGGTGCACGCGGGCCCAGTGACCCCGGCCCGAAGAACAGCCGGGTTCCTGTGGGGGACCGGACCGGGGACGTGGGGTTGCACGGGTGGGAGCGGCAGGCCCCGGGCTCTGCCTTGAAGTCCCGGCCCTGGGGTCTCCGCAGCCGGCGGTAACGGGCGGCCCCGCCTCCTTCCAGGTGGAATCTGGGCAAAACGGACAGCGCGGTGCTGGGCTTCGGTCAGGTCGTGCTGGGCGTGGACATGGGCCTCCGCGACATGTGTGTGGGCGAGCGGCGCACCGTGGTCGTCCCGCCGCACCTGGGCTACGGCGAGGCCGGAGTGGGTAAGCGGGGGCCGCGGCCTGCGTGTGCGTCGCTTCTCCGTCTGCCTCGCCCCTCTTCGCAGCCTTCTCTGCTGCCGCCTGCACCTGCAGAGTGCTGACCTGTGAGCGGGGTCGGGGTGCGCGCTCTCTCTCTCTCTCTCTCTCTCTCTCTCGCTCTCTCTCGCTCTCTCTCTCTCTCTCTCTCTCTCTCTCTCGCTTCAGTACCGGGGATTGAGCCCCGGGCCCTTCACCCAGAGCCACGTCCCCAGCCCTTTTTGAGACAGAGTCTTCCTAAGTGGTTTGAACCTGAGATCTCCTGCCTCAGCCTCCCAGGTGCTGAAATTACAGGTGTGGGATACCTCAACCAACTTGTTATTATTTAAGGTCTGCTGTTATTTTTGTTCAAAAGTTGTACTATTGTAGACTCTACTAGTGGCTTTCTTTTTTTTTTTACTGAGGCACACAATAAGAAATATTTTTCTTTCAATTTGTTTTATACATAAACATGTAATTTAGACAGCCCCCCCACACTGTACTGGGGATCAAACTCAAGACCTTGAGCTTGCCAGGTATGTTGCCTCTGAGCTAAATCCCTGACCCCTCAGATACTTAGTTTTAAACATAAAATTGAAATGAAAGTTCTAGGGAGCAATACTGACTCTCTGCAGTGTTCATGGGTTTAGTTCATTTTATTCCTATATTTTTATGTGATTATTATTACTATTATTTTTGGCCACACTGGGGATTGAATTTAGGACCAAAGCCCTGAACTTTGCATTTAGCTACTGAGCTACAAAGTTTTTATTTATTTATTTATTCATTCATTTATTTATTTTGGTACCGGGGATCGAACTCAGGATCTTGCACTTGCAAGACAGGTGGTGGCATCACTGAGCTAAATCCCCAGCCCAAGTTTTTAATTTTTTAAGACAGTCCTAAGTTGCCGGGTTGGTATCAACGTAGTGATCCTCCTGTCTCAGCCTCCTGCGTGCTGGGGTCTGAGGTGAGCACGGTGCCGACTGCCTATCTGCACATGAAGCCCCGGGCAGGTCCGATGAGTGCCGTCGCCCGTTCCCCGCCAGCCCACTGACACTGCCCCTCCACAGCTGGGGAGGTGCCGGGCAGCGCGGTGCTGGTGTTTGACATCGAGCTGCTGGAGCTGGTGGCCGGCCTGCCCGAGGGGTACATGTTCGTGTGGACTGGCGAGGTGTCCCCCCACCTCTTCGAGGAGATCGACAGAGATGGCGACGGGGGTGTCCTCCTGGAGGAGGTGAGGGCTCCGTTCATCGGGGGTGTGTGTGTGTGTGTTCGCAGCTGGGCGGCACCGGGCTCTCGGGCCTCCGCGGGCCCTCCCTCCTGCTCTTTTTTGGCTCCTGCTCAGACTTCTCCACCTGCACTGGCCATGATGGTGCACACCTGTGATCACACGTTTGCACCCAGCCTGGGCAGTTCTGTGACTTAGTGAAACCCAGTCTCAAAGACAGAAACTAAAAGGGGCTGAGGATGCGGCTCAGCGCAGAGGCCCTGCCCTGCGGCCGCTCCCCAGGAAGATGCAGGAACCAGCAGCCTGGCCGGACTGTCGGCCTCTGCCACTGCTGGCTCGCCTGCTGTTCTCTTCTGTTTATTGTGAGACGGGGTCTTCCTGTGCTGCCCAGACTGGTCTCGGTCCTGGCCCAGGTACCTCCCGCCTCAGCCTGCTGCGTGAGTGCGGCCACCCACTGTCCTCAGCTTGCCGTTCCTTTCCAGTCCCTGCTCACATTCATATGTACTGCAGTATGTAAGGAGGCTTTTCATTCCTTTTCAAACCCAATTCCTGTCGGCTTTTGTCACTGCCACTGAAGCTGGCCTGGCCCAGGGCCGCTGGGAGCACCTGGGCCCCTGGAACCTGGTGTCTTCCCCTCCACCCTTCCCAGTGCCGTGCCTGTCCCTGCCCACTGGTGGATTTGTGCCCTCTACCTGGGGACCTGCACCGTCTCTGCCTCTGGCTGGGTGTCCTACCCCCTGCCGCCCTGACTGCAGAGTGGCTGTTTCCACAGGGCTGTGTGGCTTGGCTGCACTCCCCAGGCCAAGGCCCCTCCACCAGGCCCTGAAACGGCTGCCGCCCTCTCCTTCTACCTGGCCAGTGCGTGGCCCCTGGGCCTTTGCACGGTGTCCCGGACGTCTGGACTCGGGACCACAGCCCCTCCTCCGTTCTCAGCACAGCAGCTTCATTCCTCCTGGTGCACTTCATTCCTTCCTAACTGCACCCGCCTTTCCCTGTCCCTTGTGTTTGGGCCCCAGCGGCCAGGACAGGGGAAGGGACCATGCCAGCGCCGCATCCCTTGGTCTAAGGCTTCCCCTGCGCCTCCCATCTCCGGACGACCTTGTCCACCTGGCCCCCAGCTGCTCACCTCCTCCGCCCCTGTCTCCGCAGTTCGCTGAGTACATCCACGCCCAGGTGGGCTCTGGCAGAGGGAAGCTAGCACCTGGATTTGACGCCCAGATGATCGTGAGGAACATGTTTGCCAACCAGGACCGGGACGGGGACGGCAAGGTCACGGCCCAGGAGTTCAAGCTCAAGGGCCAGGAGGCCAAGCATGATGAGCTCTAGGGCGCCGCCTGCCCGTCACAGGTACAGCCAGGACTCCGGGCCGGGCCAGTGGTGGGTGGGAGCAGGTGGCCCATGGTGCCGGCTCAAATGCAGGGTGGGACAGAGCCTGGGCAGGGCCTCGGCCTGGCCCAGCCCAAAAGGCAAGAAGGCTGCCCTGCCACGCTCCGTGCGCCCTCCGGGGAGCTGTGTCACTAACGGGAGGAGGTGTCACCCTGGAGGAACAGGAGAGGTGCCAGCACCTACTTAAAGATTAAAGCGTTTCTAAGTGTCTTAAACTTGTTCTGCGCAGGGGCAGGAAAGACCAAGGGCGCACAGGCCCGGCAGGGTGCCCAGGCAGCTCTGCCCGCCACTCTGTCCCCTCAGATGTGGGCACACGAGGGCTGGTGCCTTGCGAGATGGGCTCGTCCTCCCGCTGAGCCGTGAATACAAGGGGACCCTGCCGTGGGGAGTGGTGACAGGCACCAGCGTCCTGTGCCTCGTCACGCAGCAGCCGTGCCTGCCTGCGTCCTCTGTCCCAAGGGTGCTGGCACCTCCCCGAAGCATTACACGGCCTTTCCTCCTGAAGCTGCTTCTGATTCACTGTTCCGTATTTGTGGAAACTCTGCACGGTCTCCTGGGGGCCGAGCCCCTGGCTGGACACCCTGGGCCTGTGTTGCCAGCAGGGACCTCCCTAGCAGTACTGGCTGGCAGGCAGTAGTTAAGAGTCTATGACAGCGGTAGCCCCCATGACAGGGTGACAGCACGGCCAGCAGGGAGAAGGCACTGAGGGAAGGGGCTCGGGGTTCAGCCTGGGAATGGCTGTAGCTGGCAGGTGGACTATAGTCCCGCTCCACATCGGGGGCTCCAGCAAGTCTGAGACACCAACACTGGTGCTCCTTGGCCCGGTCAACCCTGTCACCGCGCCCGCTCCCTCCGTGTGCGCGGCAGGCCAGGGACCCTGCTCCTTGGAGTCTGACCCATTCCCTGTGCCCACAGCCTTCTCGGGGCTGGGCCGCGCGCTCGGTCTCCACCTCGGTCTCCTCCAGCCTTGGCCGAACGCCTTTGGGCTGCTTTGGACAGAGCGGGCTACCGTGTGCAGAACTGGAAGTTTCTTTGGGGGAGAGGGCCCCAGGCTCCTGCACCCTGCAGAGGCTCAGAGGGCCTGGCTGAGTGGCAGAGGCGGCTGCCTTTCTGTGGGCTTGTAAGACTGGACGTGTGAATTCTGGTCAGGTTCGGGGTGGACGCTGGGGCCTCCTCTTTCATGTCATCGTGTATCTGACTTTACTGCTGTGGCTTGAGATGGCCAGGCCTCCGAAGGGAGCGGTGCCAACTTCCCGCTTCTGCCCACACAGTGTGAGCCTCGCCTGGGTGGCAAGCGAGCGTGCGACAGGTGGTGCTGGCATCCACATGGTGCCGCACTGGGCAAGCTGCAGACAAGCAGCGGGCATTGTCTGCTAAAATCAGCGGGTCTGATCTCTGGTTATTTAGCAGTTGGCACTTTTCAAGACAGTTTACTTAAGAAGACACCATTAGGGCTGGGATTTAGCTCAGTGGTGCTGCTGCCTCCCTCGTAAGTGCCAGGTCCCAAGTTCGATCCCCGGTACCCCCTGCAAGACACCATTAGCTGGCCTGAATGCTGGACCATGGAACTGAGTATGGCTCCTTGCCTCACACCCAACTTTATTATCTGAGTTTTCCAGGAAAAAAACTGCTTCTTTCGCAGCCCGTTTCCCTGATTCTCTTAGGAATCTGAAAGCTTTTAATTATTTGTTTGGTACTGGGGGTTGAACTTAGGACCTTGTGTTTGTGAGGCAGGCGCCGGCGGCACCAGAGCTGAATCCCGGCCCTGGGGAGCCTTTTCACAGCAGACGGGTCTGGATTATTTGAGGCTAGCTGGCAGTGTGACATATGGCGGGAGGCCTGGTTCTGTGTGGCCCTCGTTGCTACGCTTTTCCGTTGGTCGGGATTCTTTCCCACATCCCCTGGCCACATCTAGATCTCACTGAGACGCTGCTGTACATGAGGTCTCTTCGCTTTTCTTCTGTTGAGGTGGATCGCCTTCTGTCGCCCAGGCTGCTCTCAAATCCTGGGCACATCCTGGCTACAGGCCCAACACCGTGGGCTGCCGGGGACGGGCCAGGCCCTCTACACAGAGCCGCAAGGAAACCTTTCCCTGTGTGCGGTGCTTGTCCCGGGTGTTTGCTGGAGCAGCGGGAACCCAAGATGGAGCGGTAACACCCAGTCTGTAGTTCCTCTGCAGCTTCTCCCTGTGCCTGTCTCTAGTGTCCTCTCCTAGCTCCCCCAGCACAGGGCACTCTGGTGTCCAGAGCCCACCGTACCCCTCCAGTGTGACCCCTGCCCTCCGCCCACCTCCCGATACCCTCTCCCCCGTCCCAGCCCGAAGATGCAACATGGCAGCTGCTCCCAGCACTGGTCTGGCATCCGCATGGGTGGTAGGGGTCACGACCTGAGGCAGCTGTGACCCATGAGGCCGGCCACCCTCCCGTCCCTCTGTACCCAGCTTCCTCTCGGCTCTTCCTCCCCACCCTCGGGCTTCTGCACAGGAACCGATGTCCACTGTCGCTTGCGTTTTCTTCCTGGCACAGTCATTGTGTCTTCTCTTCTCCCATCTCTCCCACTCGGGACGGAGGCTACACAAGGGCAGGAAGCGTGTCTCGCCTGCCACGTCTCGCTGCTCTAGAACCCACGTGCTCTTCATTCCGTCCCCGCTACTCCAAGGCAGTCAGAAGCTTCACTCCAAGTGTGACTATTCCGTTTGGTTGGTTTTGGGGTTTTTTGCAACAAGGACTTGCTGTGTGATCCAGGCCGGCCTCCAATACTCAATCTTCCTGCCTCAGCCTCCCAAGGAGCTTTGATTACAGTTGTGTGGCAACACGCCCAGCGCTGGGCAGATGTGACTTTCAACACTTGTGGCCCTTACACTTTTCATCTGTTAAACTGGTGCCAAAACCAGGGTAACTGTGAAAGGAGGGCGTAATGGTGGAACTGTGGGGTGCCATGGAGAAGCTTCAGGATTAGTCATTCAGGATCATGTTCATCTTTTGTTTGCTGCTTCTCCTTAAAGTGTACCAAGGAGAGAGGGACCCCTCTGCCTCAGAGAGGTAGACTTGGCTGGCTCGGAGGCCTTCCGGACGTACACCATGGCACTCAGGCTTCTTATGAAACCAATCTGGAATGAGCTGGCATCACTGATTGTTTTCCCAAATTTTTAAAAAATCAGAATTGTTGTAGCACTCAAAACTGCTCTACCTCAGAAAGCAAAATTTACAGTCAGGCAGGTGTGGTGGCACACTCCTATAACCCCAACCCTCAGGAGGCTAAAGCAGGAGGCTGGCCTGGGCTATTGAAAGGCCCTGTCTCAAAAACCAGAAAAGGACAGGGATGCAGCTTAGTTCTGGAGCCCTTAGCTCACACAAACGAGGCCAGGCTTCAGTCCCCCATACCAGCTAAAGCTGGACCACTGGCTAATGCTGGTGCTTTGGCAGATGTGGTAGCCACTGTCCAGCAGCAGTGCTCACTGGGGCTACGCAGATCCTCCATCACACAGGCTGGAGCTCACTCTTACAGGTGTAACAGTAGTGAGCAGCTGTTGTTTTGAGTACAAACATCTGCAGAGCATGCACACTGGAGGGTATGTTAAGCTCCCCACAGACGGGCACCTCAGAGATCCGTGCAAGGCCGTCCTGATTTTGGTGCCAACTCCCAGCCCCTCCTGGCGGACCTGCTGCCCATGTGGGATGGCAACCCAGCCGTGAGTCCACAGCCCCTTCCTCAATGGCTGCATGAGCTGACAAGCATTCCACATGTCACTAGCACCCAGGGGCAGTGAGATGTGGCAGTGCCCCCCCAGGGGGCTGAGCCCTGAGAGCATGCGGCACTGGAGCCCTGACCCTGGTGCTGACAGACGTCAACCATGCCTTCCCCACTGGAGCCTTCTGGGTGCCATGTTGTGCCTTGCATGGGTGCAGACGCATGTGTGTGTGTGTGTGTGTGTGTGTGTGTGTGTGAGAGAGAGCGAGCCAAGATCAAACCCAGGGCCTGTGCTGTACTCTAAACACAGCCACACCTCCACCCATTATTTTTTGCTTTGCGTTAGAGTTTCAATTCGATCTCTGTTCCCTGGCTGGTCTCAAACTTGAGGACTTGATCCAGCCAGCTCAGCCTCCCAGGGGCTGGAATCACAGGTGGCCCCACACCCCCAGCTCACAAGTTTGAGTCTGATTTTGGAAATACAGGGATGAACGAAATATATGGTGAATATTTTTTTTAAAAGTTTTTTTTTAATTTATCATGGTAAAAGACCATCAATCTCCCTCATAATCTCCCCCTTGGTTCACTTACACCATAGCTTTGGCCTCTTTGTGAAGTGGACTTGAGCCTTTTCTGAGTGTGTTTACAAGGCAAGATAAAAACGTGGTGAGAGCCACTGCTGAGTGTCCAACAGAAAAGCGGGCTGGTAGACAGCATGGTGTGTCCCGGTCCTCCTTGTTCACGGGGTCTGAACTCAAAGTCAAGGTGACCATGAAACATCAACGTTTTGAATCAACTCAGGACATCAAGGCAGTCACAACAGCACAACTGAAGGGAAGGCTTCCAGAGCTGCAGCAAAAGGGCCAAATAAAAACCTAAACATTCACTGTACTTGCTGATCATAGCTCAGAGCCCTTATCTTTTGCTTGTGCTTTTTTTTGAGACAAGGCCTCACGAAGTAGTTCCGGCGGGCCTACAGCTATGTAGTCTTCAGCTGGCCTCAAATTCGTGGCGATCGATCTCCTGGCGCCCATGGTTAGTGTGTGGCGCCAACTGGAGTATTCATGGTTGTTCATGGTAAGAGGACGAGTGGGCATCCGCAGGGCGGGACCTGCCTTGACCACACCCCCTGGACCACAGGCTCCGCCCACAGCAGACGAGGGCCTTGGCTCCAGCTGCTGCGGGATCTGCGGGGTGGGGTGGGGGTGCCCCCTCGCCTGTGGTAGAGTACAGCGCTGGCTTTCCCTCATGTTTTCAACCGGGGAAATGGTCTTCGTGAGCCCTGGTGTCCCGAAGGGCAGGTTGCACCCCGTATGCTGTTATTTAGAAGGTGTAATCTGCAAGGCCAGGACCACAGGACCGTGAGAATCGGAGAAGGGAGGGACGAAAGCACGGCAGTGTTCAGTATTGCTGCAGTCTTTTGTTGTGTGGCTGGGGGTGTTGAGCAGAGGCTCCTGTAGCCCGGCCTGGCCGGAGCTCACGCCTCCTGCCTCAGCCTCCCAAGGCGTGTGCCGGGCCCAGCCTAAGCAAGCCAGCGCTGACAGCAGAATTAAAAAGGCTCTCATCTCATGTTTATTATCGGTGCCGACAGAACGTGCAATGCTCAGCGAGGTGAACACTGACTTCCCAGACAGGAAGGATCACTGCGCGTGGTACAATTTGGGAGGTGGAGAGGACACTGGCATAACCACCCAAATTACAAAAACGGCAGTCCTCAAAATCATGCACATTATTTCACCATTTCATAAAACACTTTACATTTCTACAAACTTTCATGTTGTAAAAAAAAAAAAAAAATGCATGATAACATTAAACTACAAAATTCACCTTGGAAAAGTAGGAGTTACTTTTCTAATTCTGGCTGTAAATCTCTTTAAGTGATTAAAAACCACGGCGTGGAGTGTACTGAGAGGTGGAGGAGTTTCCAGTTGGAGGATGCACCAGGTCTGCACGCTGCAGCTGCGCACCGAGCGTCCGCGTAAGTCTGTCTTCCGGCAGGCAGGAGGCCCTCCACACCCGCTACAGAACCTTCTGCAGAATGGCGTTGGCCACCTCCAGCGACTCGTCTTTTACTAAGACAATATCGTAAGCGTCCATGTATTTTTCTAATAGCTCCTCCACCTAGCGAGCGAAGGACAGAAAGAAAGTTAACAGGCAGGGAGGAGGAGCACGCAATGTCGGCATTCGTCCCACCCCACTGTTCTGTCAGAGCTGCTGGGCAAAAACGGAGTCACGTCAACGTCGCACAGCTCCTGGGGAGAGCGTTCTGCCCAGACTCCCGTATGGACACAGGGCTCTGGAGGGACGGGCAGCCAGCGCCCCCTGCAGGGTCCGCTCCTGCCCTGTGCTCCGTCAGCGCCTCCATCATCACCTGGTACGTGACAAACAACTGCCAGAGTTTCTGCCTCATTTTTTCTCAAAAGAAGATTTTACCTCTGTATACTCACCCTATCATTTAGATACCCGATTTTCAGAATATGCTCAACATTGGCCACCCCATCTGCCATCCGCAAGTCTCCCTGGGAGTCTCCCAGCAGAATTATGTTGCTGTTATCCTTTAGCTGGCTGAAGTAGTCCGTATTCTTCAAGGCACCATCGTGTTTGTTGAATACATGAATTAGTTCTCCCTTAAATCCTTTGAGCACCCCCTGTGAAAAACAGAAATGTTCTAAAATAAGATGTCTTACAAGCACTGTTTGTTAGACTTGCCTATTTTATAGTTCTTACTAGGTGCCACTGTTATTTTATCATACATTTACAGCTGGGCATGGTGGCGCACACTTGTAATCCCAGCACTTGGGAGGCTGAAGCAGGAGGATCATCATGAATTGAAGACCAGCCTGGACTACCTAGTGAGTCCAAGGACAATCTATATAACAGTGAGACCCTGTCTCAAAAGGTGGGGGGCAGCAGCCGCCTGCCTCACAAACACAAGGTCCCAAGTTCGATCCCCAGTACTTAAAAAAAAAAAAAGGCCACTTTCATAGTAGGCAGGAAGGGCTCCAGAAGTCACTTCCTAGTGACCATTTTAAAGGGAAAACACATTGAAATGAGAATGCAACTTTTTGTTTTCATTTTGTTCTTAACCAGATTATTTCATTCCGTGAATTCTACAATGTCGTCGTCTTGTTGTGGAGACACGGCCTCACTCTAGCCCAGGCTGCCCTGAGCACTCCATCCTCCTGCCCCAGCCTCCCAGATGCTAGGGCCAGAGGGTTAACCCCCACCCGTGCGAACATGCTATCTTCACTAGGAAAGCTGTCCACATACTGGCAGTTTTCTGCCTGTGTTGGATTTGACAACTGCTACATTCATGACATTAAGAGAAGTTTTGCAAATGTTAGTATTAGTCTATAACTTGTGTACCAAAGGCTAAGAAGGCCTATTACTTTTAAAATACTACAGATGTAGTAACAGGAGAGATGAGATGACAGGCCTGTGAACTCGGCATATTTTAACAAATATAGGTCAAGCAACAAAATAAATGAATTCACATGATTAAAATGTTTTCAGATTGTAGAAGTCACCGAGAGCTGAGTAGTGGCACATGCATGCAATTCCAGACACGCAGGAGGCTGGGGCAGAGGATCGCAAGTTCAAAGTTAGCCTGGGCAACCCAGTGAGACCCAGACTCAAAACCAATAAAGGCTGGGGATATGGCTCCGTGCACAGGCCTGGGGTTCAACCCCTGCACTATGATAAAAATACCAAAAAACAAAGGAATTGAGGAATGACTTGATATTCTTACATTTTCATCAAAATCCATGAAGTTGGACACGACTTTGACATTCGGATGATAAACTCCAGCTTGACGAATAACTTCCTCTAGAACATCACCAATACCCGCCGAAAATATAAACACAGGGATACTGTGCTGTTGGAGCTTATCGAAGAAATTCTCATACCCCTCCCTGCAAGACGGAGAGACAAACTAACTGTTAAACAACAAGGTTTATTTTATTTTTTTTGGTACTGGGGATCGAACTCAGGTCCTTGTGCCTTTTGGGCAGGTGGCAGAACCACTGAGCTACATCCCCAGCCCAAGCAGCAAGGTTTAGAAGCTGAACAGCAAAGCATTTCTATCTAAGTCTGAGGCTCATGCACGTCCTTCCTCATTTCAAAGTGATGCCCAGTTGCCAAGATCCATGCTCCTACTAGTCCAAGGTTTTTTAGTGACGGCTGACACTGCCTTCCTCATCATCAGCTGGAACAGTATGAACCATGTGTCTTCAGGCTCACTGACTATTCAAGCCTATGGGTTCCAATTTACATCACTCAAAGCAGGCGACCAGCCCCTTCTGGTAAGCTGGAGAACACTCCTAATGTCCAGCCTGCTCTGCTACAGGAGAGCAGAGCAGCAGGACCTTGCCACACTCGCTTCTGGCCATTTTCCTTCCCGAGATTTTAAAATCTTTTCTCCCTCCTTGAACTAAATCAAATTAGGCTGTCACTGTATAGGAATGGAATACTCGTTAGTGCGCTCTGACATCTTACACCTTCCTTCTTAGAAGTAATTACCATAAAATATAACAGCATCCAAACACCAGGGGTGACTAGGGTGTAGCTAGTGTAAGTGAAGCCCCTGGCCTGACTGCCCGGCACCACAAGATTAGCATCATTGTATTTGTCTAACAAGTTGATACCTTTATGATGTGGTAAATAGTACTGAAAATAAAGCTTCTGATATAATTTTGCATTGTAAAAATTTTCATTATGTACCTTTCCAGAGAGTTTTCAAAGAAGTCTGAGAATTCAGCACTTGTGTAAATTTATAAACAATGTATAAATTTATGTCCTTTCCAGTTTGATTTGTAAACATTCCTTTCCTTTCATAGTTAGTTCTTTTTTCTCTTTTGGTACTGGGGATCAAACTCAGGACCTTGCGCTTACAAGACAGGTACAGCACCACTGAGCTTACCCCGGCCCTAATAGTTCTTTCTAGTTTGTTTGTTTTTTGAGACAGGGTCTCACTATGTAGTTGAGACTAACCTGGAACTCACTATGTAGCCCAGGCTGGTCTCGAACTCACAGCGATCCTCCTGCCTCAGCCTCCGGAGTGCTAGGATTACAGGTGTGAACCACCACGCCCGGCTCCTAATAGTTCTTTTGAAGCATTTTACTAAAGAATTTCAAAATGGTCTTGGTTGCACAAAGTTGTAAATTTGTCTCGAATTTTTTAATTTGGAGACAGGAAATACAAATCAGCACTTAATTCTCATAAGGGTCTTGCTATCTACACCGCATCTAACATGTCGTATTTCACCAGTATCCATTTTGTGACAGGTAGCACATACATAATGGAATGTTATGCCTTATTTTACTAAAAACATACAGTTGAATATTTTTTTTGGTATTGGGGATCGAACTCGGGTCCTTGCACTTGTGAGGCAGGCGGCGGAACCACTGAGCTAAATGCCTGGCCCCCAGTTGAATACATTTTTAACAATAATTCAATTCTGCTGATAGTAACAAAAAACCCCCACGAAACTTACTTAAGCATCACATCAGATTCTGCCACAATTTCCTTCAGTTTAGCTTTCGGTATACCTTGCTCAACGAGCAGTCCATGTGACTTTGTATACCTGGAGTTTTGACCAAAGAGGGAAAAATAAGACAATTATCTTTATGACAAAGCACCCAGTAGGGAAAATGACTTGTGTTCCTCACCTTTGGATTTAAATCTCTGAGACTTAAATTCATCACTCATGAATGTATATCCCAAATGTGCCTCAGAATGTGATGTGCTTTTTAGTTTTTGGCAGCAGTGGGGACTGAACCCCGCGTCTTGGCACTAGCAGCGTCCCTGGCCCTTTTGATTTCGAGATAGCGTCTCGCTAAGCTGCAGTTTAAACCTCCAAGGGAAGTAAGCTGCCGCCTCGTGAGCACGATGGTGCGGCCAGTTGTGTGTGGAGCAGCCTGCTAGGTTCTCTTGAGGGCTCCTGTGGCCACAGTACTACCTGAAGGTCCGAGGACGACACTCTGGCACCTTCCAGAGTCCCAAGCACCCCTGCACTCTCAGAGCCGACCTCCTCTCAGCCCGTCAGTGCGCTCATTCCCCAAGGGAAGCTCCCGCACTGCCAGACACTAACTCCTAGGCAGTCCTCCTTCACTATGCAGAAACCATCTTAATCCTTTCAAATCTGCTTTTTGGGGGGGTTCTTTTGAGACAGGGTCTCACTATGTAGTTCAGGCTGGCCTCAACTGGCTGCAATTAATTCCCCTGCTCACTCAGCCTCTCCAGAGCCGGGATCCCAGGTGTGCACCACCACTCCCGGCTGTCAGCCCGCGCTGTACCGACTACGCCTTCCAGCTCCACACTCACCATTCCACCATGTGGGGGTACTTCTCCTCCACGGTGAGCACAGGGTCCACCTCAATAGCGTAATACTGCTCCTTCAGCTGCAGCAGCTGGAGAGAAACGGGACTGCATTACGACGCCGGTCTTCTGACTCATCTGCTTTGTCTTACAGAAAGCAAAACCATGTAAACAGATGTTTTCCATTAACTGCTTTCTAGGTGAAGAACAAACCGGGCTGATGCAGCCCTCGAAGAGATCTTCGCTGGCCTTAGTCCTACAAAATCTACCTAGCACTATTCATCAGACGGTCACTGCAAAACGGTGTTAGCTCTGACATGAGCAGTGAAGGTCATTCAGGTGCGGACACTCACACGATTCACACGACAATTGTCCCTGGTCAGTGTCAGGGAGTGAAAGTTGTAAAACTGAAGTACTTCCGGGCTAGCTTTTCACTTAGTGTAGTTCACTGGAACATTTTAGTGATCACTCGAAGGTTCAGACCCTGAGGTTTGCTGGCGCTCCGCCTTCTCTCGGGATGGCCCTAGCCCTCCTGCGCTCACGGCGCGGCTTCGAGGGTGTGCACACCGCCCCTCCTCACGCAGCTTCCCCGCCAGCCACACAGGAGCACAGCGGCCTCCTGCGGACAGAAGCCTCCAGACACTGAGCCAAAACAAACCTCTCCCCGCTAGCTGCGATGATGGTATTTTGTCCAGCAGCAAGGAAATGCCTAGGACGGCTGGTTTGAAAGTCACCGCTAATTTTTCCTTAAAAACACAGGGAAGATGGATAGTGACACACTGCAGCAACTTGGGAGGCTGAAGCAGGAGCCAGGCCGAGCAACTTACAGAGACCCTATCACAGAATAAAACAGAACAGGACTGAAGGCGTAGCTCAGTGGTGGGCACTTGCCGAGACACATGAAGACCTGGATTCAATTCCTAGTACCACAAAACAAAACAAACACTTTTTGTTTGTGTGAACAAACCCCATGTGATTCTGAGGCAACAGACTGACTGCCTTCCTGGTAGCGCTTACCTTTCTTCGACAGTCATCTGTAACCAGCTTACAATTATCAATGACATCTAGTAAGAAAGCAAAACAGGCATTAAAAGAAAGTACTCTGGGGCAAGGGATTTAGCTCAGTGGTTCTGCCGCCTGCCTCGCACAAGGACCCAAGTTTGATCCCTGGTACCAAAAAAAAAAAAGAAAGCACTCTGACCAATGCCACACCAGCAGGAACAACTGCATGGTTTTCATTATTTTAAATGAAGTCACCTAGCACAGTTATTAAATTTTTAGTCTCAAGCTGGGTGTGGTGACACATGCCTGTGATCCCAGCACTCAGGAGGCTGAGGCAGGAGGATCTCTGCAAGCTGGAGAGCAGCAGCCTGGACTACATAGCAAGACCCTGTCTCAAAAAACAAGCAAAAGAAAAACAAAACAAAATCAACCAAACAAACCCAATTAAAACAAAAACCCAAAACCAAGGGCCAGAGATTTAGCTCAGTGGTTTCGACGCCTGCCTTGAAAGATAATGGCCCGAGTTCAATCCCAGGTTAAAAAAAAAAAGAAACCCAAAACCAAACCAAAACCTTTTGGTCTCAATGTTGCAACTCCTGCAGCACTCCTGTGGCAGCTAACAGTTCCTGTTGGAGCCTTCAGGACCCCATGCGTCACTGATCCTGACAGCTTAGGGTCTTCAAACAGAACCAATCTCACTTTTTTTAATTAAATGAAAGCAAGAACTATCCTAGGACAGGAGACTAGAGCAGGGGCACAGGTGGCTGGGGAGGAGGCTGACCTGTAATGACACAACCCAAGGACGCATGCACAGAACTTCTCATTGGAACTCGGCAGTTTCCTGGGACACCTGGACCCGACCCAGTGGGAAGGGACAGCTGAGCCTAGGCTTGTTACTGTTCTCTCTCACAGCTGCCCACGGTACGCTCTACAGTGTACTTTTTTCTTACTTTCATTTGGCCCAAACTCACTCTGTAAAGCCTGTTTCTTTTTCTGCCTTTAATAAAAGTGAAACTTTGCCCCTGTTTATACTTGTTCTGACTCTTTTGTTCACAACAGAACCTAGAAACCACCTCTGGGAGACTCCAGCGTCCCTGAGCCTGGTAACATTATCTCTGAAATATACTTATTGGGGGTTACAGATTGAATCCAGGGCCTCTGCACTGAGCTCCACTCCCCAGTCCTTTTAACTTTGTTTTTACTTAATTGTTGTCTTTTGTTATTTTGAGAGTGGGTCTCCCTACGTAGCCCAGGCTGGCCTTCAACTTGCGATGATCCTCCTGCCGCAACCTGAGTGCTGGGATTACAGCCATGTATCATCATGCCTGGTTCTATTCCTTTTCTTTTCTCTTCTTTTTTTTAATTAAGGTACTGAGGATTGAACCCAAGACCTTCACATAGAGCTACATTATGAACTCTTAAATTTTTAAAATTATTTTTATTTTGAGATATGGTCAAATTAAAAAATAAATTACAGGGTCGGGGATTTAGCTCTGTGGTTCTGGCGCCTGCCTCACAAGCACAAGAACCTGAGTTCAATCCCTGGTACCAAAAAAAAAAAAAAAAAACCTAGTATTTTAGGTGAATTTCCTTTCTGTCTTAAAATTGTATGTATTATTGATTCGAAATCAATTTGAATTCTTTTTTATTTCACATTGTGGTTCATGTTTTTCATGAGTTAAAACCCTCCACAGGCTGCACTCCGTAGTAGGATTCTTGCCTAGCACACGTAAGGCCTTGAATTGATTCCCTGAACCATAAATAAAATGAAGCGCAAACTCCCTAAGTATCACCCACTCACAATGCTCGCTGCTCTGTGGGCAGGACAGAGTTTACACTGCTGCTACAGTGTGAAATCTTTTAGAATGCTTCCAAGCTTTTGTCACTCTCCAAAGAGGAATTACTGAGGTTGGGGTAGCAGTTTGGGGAGTTCTGTGTGTGTCTTTCCTTCCCTTTTTATTTATTTATTTTTTTTTTGGTACTGGGGATTGAACTCTGGTCCTTGCACTTGCAAGGCAGGCCACTGAACCGCTGAGCTAAATCCCCAGCCCTATGTGTGTGTTTCTTAGTTTTAATTTTTGTGTGTGTGTGGTGTTAGGGATCAAACCCAGTGCCTCAAACACAGAGGCCAAGCACTCTACCACTGAGCTACATCCCAACTCTAGCAGATTACTGAAAAGTACAAATTATCAAGTAATCTCTCAATTTATACATGTAGTAGTAGTAAAACAGAGGACTAAGGTTTCCTTGTTGGGTTAAAAAGTATTATTAAAAATCTCACTATAAGGGTCGGGGATTTGGCTCAGTGGTTCTGCTGCCTGCCTCACAAGCGCAAGGGCCCCAGTTCGATTTGCAGTACCAATAAATTAATTATTTTTTTTTTAAAAAAATCTCACTTTAGGGCCAGGGATTTAGCTCAGCGGTTCCGCCGCCTGCCTTGCAAGTACAAGGTCTCAAGTTCAATCCCCGTACCAAAAACACAACAACAAAAAAACCCTCACTACCAACTTGAAGAACAAATAAAGGAATATTAATCTAGCAACAAAGGCAACTGTGGTAACATATACCTATAATCTGAGCAATTTAGGAGGCTGAGGCAGAAGGACCACAAGTTTGATTCTAGCATGGGCAACTTAGACCCTCTCAAAACGCAAAGTAAAAAACAATGGGGATTAGTTTAGTGGCAGACTGCCCCTGGGTGTGACTCCTCAGTACCATGAGAAAATCTAGCAACGCAATTTAACTTGTGATTTATTGAATAGCACACTTTTTAATGAATTATAACTAAAACTCCTAGAAAACTGTGTTTATCTGTGTGCCTGTGTGTGTGTTTTTGACCTGGGGATTGAACATAGGGCCTTGGGCATGCTACTGAGCTAAATTCTCTGCCAAGAGTTATTTGGCAAATGCTATTTCTCTACATTAACACAAAGTTTAAAACCAATTAAAAAAAAATTTAAAGGTAGACATGATGGAGCACATCTATAATCCTAGCATTTGAGAGGCTGAGACAGGAGGATTGCCACAAGTTTAAGGGCTACAACAGTGAGTTCAAGGCCAGCCTGGACTACAAACTGAGATCCTGTCTCAAAAAATCAAAAATAGGGCTGGGGATTTAGCTCAGTGGTTCCGCCACCTGCCTCATAAGCACAAGGACCCATGTTCTAAAAATAGAAAACTAATTTAAATAACTGTAGAACAATGAGCAGACTACATTTAATGTGAAATATTCTGAAGTCTCTATCCCCCTTTTATCAAAACCATACATGAAAAAGCCATTTATATAACATAAGGAAAATAATCCTCAAAATATAAGAAAAAGCAGGTTCTCCTTGCTCCCAGTATCCAAAAGGAGTTTAAAAATTTCCATTTTCTCACAGATACTTCAGGCAAAATGGATCCTGAAATATTTATCATTATTTTCAAGTCTTTTTTTAAGAGTATCCTACATACTTACTATGACATGTGGGGCATCTCTTCCCTCTGTAGGAAAACCTGCTTAGTGTCATGTCAAAGTCCGTTATGATCTGTAAAGAAAGGGAGAAGGGCGTCACATAACCGCCACCTGGCAGCAGTCTCCGTGGCTCCCACACACTGCAGCCCTGGAGGCCCAGGCGGGTCGGGTCCAGCCCTGCTGCAGGGCACCGTCTTCACCAGAGTTCTCTGCCTCTGCCGCCGGCCACACACAATCCGGGGATGACTAACTACAGGCGCTCTCTTAACTGCCCAGCTTTGTCACCAGATAAATCTGTACAGCTCATCAGTGTAGGAATTTTCAACTGTTGATTTGGTTATTCTTCTAGAATAGTGACTGCAAGAATTTTGGCCATCTTAGTCAATGTACAAAAATGCACTGGAAGCAATTAAAAGGATATGAAGTTTTTAGCTACTGACACGGTACATGCTAGATTTAACTTGCTTGTTAAGGTAAATACCAGTGAAAATACATGGCAATAATTTACTAGCTCTTAAAATTTAAAGAGATTGAGTTAAATACTATTTTTTAGAAAATAACAGCTCAAGCTTGAGATCCCCCAGCCGCTGCCTCCCAGACTGCACCATCACATCCAGCTGAAAACATTAGTAATTTGTTTCTGGTCAAAATTTATACTATCAGTTTAATTTACATTTAAAATATTCTTTTAAAAAAGGGAATTAGAAAACATCTCCTTATAAGGTTTGCATTTTAATGATGATTTAGTTAATTAAAATATGGAAGACAAAATTATCCACTTGTTACTCTTAAAATTGTTAAATACTTGCACATGACATTAGTTAATAATATAATAAAGAAAAGTTGGGGCTTGGTAGCAAAGGGCTTACTTAGAATGCACAAGGGCCTGGACTCAACCTTCGTGCCAAAAACAAAACAAGCCTAAGTTTATCTCAAAGTTACTATTTGTGTTTGCATTTCCAGAGAGAAGTACTGTGTTGTCTATTTTAGGCCAACTCTAGAACATATATATTTTTTTTAGTTTACATCTTTTACAGGCAAAACCTATTTAAATTATCTCACTAGGACAGGAGAGGCCTGCTGCACCATGAGGAATAAAAGCTTCCCGCTGACTGCCTCGTGACAAGCAGTCACCTGAAGTTTGGCAGCTCCTCCTTTGATAAGGCCACAGATGATTTCTTCTACTCTTGTGGGGTTCTTGATGCGAACTGAACTTCTCTGGAATTGCGGCATCTAAAAGGCAAAAACAAAATTACTTTTAAGCCTCCTTCCCAGGGCTGCTCTGACACCCAGCGGAAGCGTGCCCTGCTTGAGCACAGGAGTGTGCTGAGCGCTCTTCTAAGCAACCGTCCACACAGACTGAGAGCACAACGGAGGCGTCTATCACGCAGACCAATGCAAGGTCCAGCTGCTTCGTATCCACGGGGCTCCGGAAGTGCAAGAAGCACAGGACAGCAAAGTGCTTCCTGTGCTTTCTTAGAAAGTGTATTTCTTCTAAGTAGACCAATAATTTATACTTGGCACTGAAATTACAGAAAAGACATAAAAAAGAAAATAAAACTTGCCTAGTTTTGCTATTTGAAGACCAACTAGTAAATATTTTTGTTTCCTATTAGCTTCATGCATATTGTTTTATTTCATTTCCATTACATATTTTTGCACCTGGCTTTTAAAAATATTACACATATGGACCAGGGATGTAGCTCAGTGGTGCCACACCTGCCTGGTAAACACAAGGTCATGAGTTCAATTCTGGCTATGGGGGGTATTACACATATAGTTATAAAAATGCACTTAAACTGGGCGAGGCAGCATGTATCTGTAATCCCAGCACTCTGGAAGGCTGACGCAGGAGGATTCCCAAGTTCAAGCCCACACTAGGGAACTTAAAAGCCTGTCTCACAAAGTAGTCTGGGGACACAATTCTGTGTAAAGGCACTGGGTTACGAACACACACACGTACACGCACAGTGTTTAACAAAATTCATTAATCAAAACAATCCTAGAACTGAGGAAAGAATATGTGAACTCTGGGATGAGTTGTTTCTAAGAACCCTTCTGCTTACAATTTAGTTTGTCAGTTGGCCTTTGTGGCACATGCCCATAATCCCAAAACTCTGAGAGGCTGAGGCAGAAGGATGGGGACTTCAAGCCCAGAAATTAGCAACTTATGAGAAAGTGAAATGGGCTGCAGATGTAGTTCAGTGCAAAGGTTCTGGGTAGCCTCCCTAGTAGTGGCAGAGATGGGGTAAGTTGCGGTTAGTTTGTATTTGGGGCGTGGTGGCATGTACTTGTAGTCCCAGCTACTGGGAAGGGTAAGGCAGGAAATACACTTGGGCCCAAGAATTTGAAGCAACCCTAAGCAACATAGCAAAACCCTGATCTCATACAACTTTAAATTTAGAAAATAAAGTATGTGATGGGCCAGGGATGTAGTTCAGTGGTGCCGTGCCTACCTAGCAAATGCAAGATCCTGAATTTGATCCCCAGTACCGGAGAAAAAAAAGGAGGAAAAAATAAACCTTGGTGCTCCTGAGGCCGGGTGCATCCCTGCTGTTGCCACTACGGCAGCTCCTCACCTGCGCTTTGTCTGCCCCTGCTGGCTGCCACTGCCAAGGCCTGCCCACCGCGCAGCCCGCCAGAGGCCCACATGAGCTTCTCCGTAAGTAGCCCAATTTGATACAATGGCACATGAAAAACCAGATTTGCAGGTTTTAAAGGTTGAAAGTGAGTCACCATATTACTCATGCATGGAGGATGAAGATGTTGACTTTAATGCTGGCCATGTGAGCCAATGTTCCTGTTACAGTGACATGGAGCAAGAATTGACTGATACAGACCCAGGGAATGCAGACCTCCTGGATTCAGATGATGAAGAAAACAGCAATGAAAGTGCATATTTGACTAGTTGAAATGGTATAAAATAATCATGCAACCAAATGGAATGATCCAGTGCTACAACTAGGTCAGAAAACAGGGAGGACCTCGACCAGGGTGAAACCTATCGGGTACAACAACAGCACTGCCATTCAATGTTGGAAATTGTTTGTAACAGTCGAAATTCTGCAAGATGTTGTGAAATACACAAATGCTGAAATACAAGTAAAACGTCCTGTATGCACCAACGGATGTACTCAGAGATGCATTTATGAGGACTCCTCACTCGCTGAACTGAAAGCATTCATAGGTCTGCTGGACTTAGGGCTTCCTCAGGTAATCCAGGAATGCAGAGCAACGGGTGTGAGCTTGCAGTCTGTAGAGTAACAGTGACTATGAGAAGATGTGGTTTCTTTCAGAATTGCCTGAGGCTTGATGACAAACCACCCTCCAAGATAGAAAAAGAACTGATAAACCTGGCATGGTGGCACAGGCCTGTAATCCCAGCACTCGGGAGGCTGAGGCAAGAGGATCACTGTGAGTTCGAGACCAGCCTGGGCTACACAGTGAGTTCCGGGTCAGTCTCACTACATAGTGAGACCCTGTCTCAAAAAAAAAAAAGAAAGAAAAAGAACTGATGAGATTTGTGAGTAATTGTCAAACAGTTTTACACACCATTTGAATATAAGACTACTGATGTGGGCCGGGGATTTAGCTCAGCAGTTCGGTGGCCTGCCTTGCAAGTGCAAGGATCCGAGTTCAATCCCCGGTACCGGAAAAAAAAAAAAAAAGACTACTGATGAACATCTGGCAGCATTTCTGGTGCTGTAGTGGAAAAAACATAGCTTCAAAATATGGCATAAAAAATGTATAACTTTTTTAGGTACTGGGAATTGAACTCAGGTCCTTGTGCTTGCAAGGCAGAACCACTGAGCTAAATCCCCAGCCCAAAAATTTATACTCTTATGGATGTGAAGACTTATTATGCTTTCAGTTTATTTATTTATTTTTAACTAAAAAAATTTTTTTTGGTACTGGAGATCAAACTAAGAACCTTGTGTTTGCAAGGCAGGCAGCGGTACCACTGAGCTAAATCCTTGGCCCTCAGTTTAGAAATCTACTGTGGAACTCAGCCACCAGGTCCTTATTCGTGTATCAATAAACCAAATGATACAGTGAACAGACTTATTGCACGTATCACCCAAACTAACTGGAATGTGACATTTGACATTGGTTTTACCAGTTTCCAATCAACATTACATTTGCTAACAGAGCACATGTTGACCAGCACAGGAACTATACACAGGAACAAAGCAGGAATTCTAAATGAAATTTGTAAATTTGAAACAGAATTGTATAGTACCATCTTTGAATTTCAGACACACATAACACTGATCGCATATACGGCAAAGTAAAGCAAACTGGTGCTGCTCATGTCAACAATGCTCCGCAATGGAAATACTGACAGGGAGACCTCAACAACACAGACCTTGCACTTGCCAGGCAGACATGGCACCACTGAGCTAAATCCCCAACCCCTACTTAGTGGACTGGAACTAGAACTCCTAAGAGATCGTTTATATCAGAAGAAAACCAAAATGCTTCTGCCCAGGGAACTACGCACACTGGTGAGCTGACAGGTGAACAGGCAGGCACAGCATCACAAAGGCCTAGTAGGACAACAGGAAAACCAGAAAGATGTCAACTGAGCCTACAAAAAAGGACAGGAAAACAAAACGCGCTATCAGTGTGAGCAATACTTGTGTGGAACACGCAGCTTTTATGTGTAAAGACTGCCGTGGGTGTGAAAGTTGAAGCAAAGATTATTTCTGTGTCCAACTTTTAAAGTATTTACATTGAGGGCCAGGGATTTAGCTCAGTGGTTCAGTGGCCTGCCTTGCAAGCGCAAGGACCCGAGTTCAATCCCTGGTACCAAAAAACAAACAAACAAAAAGGACCCGAGTTCAGTCCCCGGCACCAAAAGAAGTAAAAATAAAAAATAAAACATGAATATAAATAAATATTTACATTGTAGTTCACTTAGGTTTTTCTTCCTGATGTGATCTTTTAGATTTTATAAGTAAACAGCCAATGTGAAAATGCCGATGTCTGTTTCAAGTGCTACATAGTTGATATTTTATTGATATCTTATTTTTCTGCTAAGTTCCCATTGTACTATATAGTAGGAAGTTCCTGATGAAACAGAAGAGGTGACAAGGACAGCCTGCCACCCAGGGAAGGAGAACCAAACACGTGTTGTCAGTGTAAGCAAGACGTGTGCATGTAACATGCAGTTGTCACGTGTGAAGACTGCCTTGGGTGTGATAACTGAAGCAAAGATTATTTTTGTTGTAGAGTTCTATTGGTATTTTCATTGTAGCTCACATAAAAATTTATTTCTGTTTTGGTTTTGGTTTTTTTGAGACAGGGTCTCACTATGTAGTTGAGACTGACCTAGAACTCACTACATAGCCCAGGCTGGTTTCGAACTCACAGTGATCCTCCTGCCTCAGCCTCCTCAGTGCTGGGATTACAGGTGTGCGCCACCAGGCCCGACAAAAATCTATTTTTGATGTTATCTTTTAGATTTTGTAACCAAATACACAGCTGGTGTGAAAATGTTGATGTTTATTCTAAATGTGCAATACATATTAAGAATTTAATACTTTATTTTGTTGATACTTTATGTTCCTGTACACTGCACATTGTATAATAAGAACCTCCTGACAAATAGTATGACCAGTGAGATGTCAAGTATGTCCTATAAAAAGGACAGGAAAACAAAACATGTGCATCAGTGACATGTATGTATGGAACATGCTTTTGTCATGTGAATACCGCCTGAGGTGTGATAACTGAAGTAAAGATTATTTTTTAACTTTTGCTTTTATTGTCCAATCCTAAATTATTAACCGCTCTTACCATAAATTTTACAAGACTTATTTCAAGTTCAGAGAACTACCAAAAACTACTGGCTGGCCGAGAATCTGGGTGTACCGTACTGTTCACAGAACTCAGTTTTGTTTCCACCCGCCTGGAGCAGCATGGCCTCGACCCACAGGCAGCGGACTCCAGACAAAGGCACAGCACAGGAGGGGCTGAGTGGCCAAAGCCACAGTTATGGACTCCTTGTACCTTGGGATCTTGACAGATTTATGTCCTTTTGTTTTATCCCCAGCTCCACAACACACAGGATCATCCACAGCAAACTAACAACTCTTAAGTTCACACAGAGGGAAGGTGCAACGGTACTGAAGGTCATCTAGAGATCAGACTGCGCAGGGGCACCTGAGGAGAGGCAAGCACATCCCCAGGACTGAAGCCAGCTCTTCCTGAAGCCCACACCACGGACCCCC